GTTGGTGCAGGATTTCGACGCAGCCTCCAATACGACCCCCCCCCCTTTCGTCGGCCGAATACGACCCCTCTCGCCGAATAGGACCCCTCTGGACCATCTCCAACGAACCGTCCCTGCGTCTCTTTGCAGCGCTGGGTTCTTTTAGATAACTAAATATACAAAAAAGCTGAAAACATAAGCATATGCAATTTTTCCGTCCGTTCTAGCAGACCCCTAACTCGACGCACTTTCGGTGTTTTGGAAGCGGAGTTGAAAGAGAGCTGGTTCGAGCCTGGTCCGCCGACATCATCAAGACACTGCTACCAGAGCTTGGTGTTTGTGAGAAAAAGGGACGACAGGGTTTGATTCTGATTTTATTACATGAGCGTTATACTCATGTGAAAACCACGGTAAAACAAAAACAGCAAAGCACTCGTGAACAGAATTCGTTACTAAAGAAACTGGATAAAACACAATACGGATACGTGCATAAAAACGCAAATCGAAATATAAAAGTAAACTTAGGAATGAAGTACTATGGAGAAAGCAACACAACTTTGAACAACAGATGAGAGTTTAGAGAAAAAGGGTAAGCAAACAAATAATGGAAGACCTATGGCAGATGTTGGGCAACTAGTTTCCGAAAAAGAGCAAAACTTTTAGGGAAGCCTCCCCTCTTAATGATCTTGTTGAATGCAGACCCAGCACGATGACAGAAAAAATTTATTCTAAGCCTGGTGTTTGATCTGGGAATAAAAATCTTGACATTTCCGCCACGAGTCCTATGATCGCCGGCAGAAAAGAGCTTGCTTTTATCAACACATATCTTACCACAGAAAATTTTGTAAAGGACAAATAAGTCATTATTATTCCTCCTCTTCTCAAGCGTGGACAAACCTAAAATTGTGTTACGGTTGGCACTATTTGGAATTCTGGAATAGTCGTAACCATGCACTCTGATCATTAACTTTCTGGTGAAGTCATTTTGAACTTTCTCAAGCGCATTGATGAGCGAACGCTTGTGAGGAGTGTAGATAACAGTTCCATATTCTAATATAGGTCGGATGTACGTTTTGTATGCACGAAGGAGGATAGCAGTATCCCTGCAGCATAAACCCTTGAAGAGGTTGTAAATTTTATTTGATGCCTTATTGGTGATCATGTTTATATGGTCATCAAAGGTAAGATTCCGAGTAATAATGAAGCCAAGATCAGAAATCTTTTCCACCGTTGCTAAGATCCTCCCATCAATATGATAGAAGCTACTGGGCTGAGTGGGCTGGGTACCAGAAGACAACAACAGGACTTTGGTTTTCTCCACAGAAAGGGGAAGCTCCCAGTTCTTGGACCATTCATTAACAATTTCGATTGCTTGTTGTAGCACAATTGAATCGGCTTCACTTTCAATAACCTTATAGATCTTGAGATCGTCTGCAAATATCTTACATTCTACTCCGATTTCAGTAACTAGGGAACTAAGCTCATATGTGTAAATATTGAATAGTAACGGCGATAAAACCCCGCCCTGCGGAACGCCACTGTGAACTTGCTGTTCACTTGAATATGACTCCTTGATGCGTACCTGAAATGTACGATTTGTGAGGAATTCCCTCAACCA